CGTAAAAAGGTTTAGCCAGAGTCAACTTAAAACATTTATTTTAAAAGGTTCGTTGAATTGGAAATTCATACCCAGTGGTTTAAGTTCATACTTCCAATTGAAGATGCCGCTGAGTATTTTACATAATATTACAATGTTAATTATCAATTGTATCACTACATGTAACATAATTTAATATTGTTTTCAATTGCTATAATTTTGTCGAAAATATCCATCAAATTCGTATTAAACTCTTGACTGTTAGCTCGAAAAAATAAAAAACATAGGCATATATACCTATGTGTACATTATGAATATATATACCTAGAAGAATTAAAATATTGAATCAAATTCAAATATGGAATGTTATTATAGCAACTCCTTACCTAACTTTGTAAACAGAATATCCATAATAACTCTAGGCTTGTTGGATATGCCACCTTCACTGATGGTCACATAATTGATTGCCCTTGCTTCTTGGCTCAATGATTATCAAATGTTTTGGTCCCCATGCACTTTGTTAAGTATACATATAGAGGATCGTCTGCATTCGATCCAATGGTATACAGACTAACCATCTCATCCTACGATACCAAAAATTAGCCTCGACATAGTATTGATTTAATATCATAATTATTTATTTATACTTATTTATGTGAAGGAAGAAGAAATATGGGGAGAATGATTTAAAAGTTATTTGTGTCTTAAGTCTGCCATAAAAACATGACTGTATATTGATCGCAAGTAAGTTAAATTCGAAATATGTGACATATAGCCTTGTGTCAATGATTACGTTAGTACAATTGAACTAATATCAGCGATTGACATCAAAATGAGCCTGAAAAGTTTTTGTATTGGATTAGATAAACATTGCTAAATTGCTTTTCCCTCAACTGACGGCAAACGAGAACGTAAATGGGTGTAGCGCGTTACCACTCATGGTAATATCTATCGCCAACCTCCTGTTTTTTTTTAAGCCTGCAATTATGAAAAAAAAAAAAAAAATCTAGTACTAAGAAGCGACATTTAAAAAGGAATGTGTAGATCCAACTTTACAAGTTGTTTATTAAAACATAAAAATAAAATAAAAAAAGTACAAAACGTAAACAAAATTTCCAATATAATTTTCAGATAATTAATATAAACCGGTTTTATGGATAAAGTGTAAATGATGATTTAGACGGCTAGTAGATTATCTTTCGTGGCCATTGGATCCTTATCCGCTCCCTCACTTAAAAACATCCAGCAAGTCATTACCGAGGGTCAATTTCATAATTAGTTTTTTATTGCTCCGCTTAACAGGAGTTGAATGAAGCTCAGTTGAAATACAAAAGACAATCTTATCGTATGAGGACTATCATAAAAAAATAAAAAAATTCTGTGATGCTTTGATGGAGACATGAAAGCCTTAAACGTGTGTTCTGTTTCATCAAGGAGCTCCTACCTAACCAACTTCTACAATTCCTTCTAAGCCCAAAAATACTCTACTATAAAAAATGCTTCTTTTTCATAATGCGCATTACTATTCACTAAATGGTAACGAATTCAGAGGAAAGCCCAAATAGCTTTCGGAAGAAGATAATATGGTAATAGATAAAAGAAACAGCTATATATATATATATATATATATATAACCTTGTTAACCTTGTTTTTCCTTGATCTGAGATTATTATAATAAACATAATTGCCAAGGTACACTTTGTATTTATAAATATAAAATGATTTTTCATCATGTTATGAAACTGTGTTTTTTTCCCTCATACATATCTAATTATGTCATATCTCCATGAAAAAATAAAAGCTTTGCAACAATTGATTGTAGTCATTTTTTGTGAACTTGAGGTGAATCTCAAATTATTTCTGTTATGAAACTCAACTTAATTAATATAGACTTAAAGCTTATTAAACTAAGTCGTTTTCCAAAAGTGGGGTATCTGTGTTAAATTTGGGTGATGATAAAATAAAATCGAAAAAATTTATCATATTTTTTTTTTAAACACAACTTATCTTAGTTTAGCCGCTCAAAATTTCTCTTTAAATGGATTTAACAAAAACAAATTATACTTTTATTTAAAGTAAATTTTGTTAACTTTATAGTGAAATAATTTTTAACTAGTACAATTAAATATGTTTTTTAGTTATTACTTCCTATTCAACAAAAAACGTGACGTTTTTTAAAAAAAAAACTTTCCTGCTGGAATTTGGGCTATTGTTTAAATAAACTTCTTTGTAACTCATTAGGTCTGCTATCACTCCTATAAATATATTTGATATTTAGAGGTAAAGTTCGCTATAAAAAACACCTATATTTACACCTGTAAGGTGACCAGATTTTTAACATTATGAAAGCATGACACCAATGACCAGCTCCGGGGCTCTTAATTAACAGACACTCAGGACTTGCGTGGAGAATCTGGCCATTGCCAGTACTCCAATATATACATATTTACAAAAGGTCGCGGGACCACTGTCGTTTTAACCCTAAGGGATTGTGCTACATGATTTGGATGATGAGTGAGGTTCTGGTGAAATTTGGAAAATAAAATAATTATAAACAATAACCGTCCCTGTTCCGGAGGATTTTTTACTCTGGGGCATTAATCATCCCACTCTCCCCTGGCCCGGTAATATTCCCGCATCGCCTTAAAGGAGAGGAAGGGACAGGAAGGAAGGGACAGACAAAAAACATAATAGCCAGCTCCAAATATTAATCAGGTGACATAGTATTCAGCTAAAATAAGGTTGAGAATTTAGTTCTAAAGGCGTATTTTTGAGAGGGAATAATTTGATGCTGTATTTGGCGTCAATAACACAGTTTTGAATACTTAGATGGTGTGTGCTAGAAGAGTATACACAATCAAGCAGCTCTTTTTCAAAAGGTTTAAAACTTATTGAAGGTGAAATTTCATTAATCAATTAGTAAATGAAGTTAATTTGGTGATACCAGAGATTTTAACTTTTCCTCATATCTCATTAAAAAGATCATTTTTGGGTTGTTTATTATCATTAAGTTTATACAATATTGTTGGAGTTCTAACAGCTGATCAACAATGCGAACTTTACTAAGCAGTTCTCGATAATCAGTTATTAACAATTATTTTTTATTATTTAAGTTTAACATAATAAAATCAACAAAAATAATATAAAACTCATATCCTGGCGAAATATTTATTTATTTCTGTTTATTGTTACCACTACTGCACATACTCAATTGTAGAATTTTATAATTTTCAAAGATTTCAAAGTTTTTTCCACGGCTTTAAATATTGGATAGTCTTGGATGATGTGTTGTACTATTCTTTGCACCTTACAACTCCCACATGCTGGTGGTTCCAGTCCTCTTAGTAGATAGCCATGTGGGAATTCACTGCGGCCAATTTTTGTCGGCAGAGGACTTGTCTCTTCTTTCCTAGAGGGCCGGTTACAGGTTTTCCATTTGGAAGAGTGGCTTTTTATTTCTTTTAATTCAGCTTCATTTTGGTGCCATCTGTTCTGCCACATTTTCCGCAACTCTTTTTTTATATGTTGTAAAAATTTAGTAGACAAAGGGAATTAGAAAATGCGCTTTTGGAATTTATCAATTCTAAAGATAGATGATTCTATTCCGATGGAATTTAAAAGTTGCCAACACGTTGGCAGAAATCTATTGATAGTAGTGGAGACTATTTTGATATTAAAATGAATTACCATAATTTTTTCTTATTCGTCTAATGCGTTAATTTATGCTTTCTCGTCATTATCCATTACATTTTACGACTTTATCTGTAAATATACAGATAATTCCATAAAAAAAGGAAAATATTTAAAGGAGTGATAACTGACATGAAGAGCTAGAAAAAATTCACATAGATTTTCCTCAGAAAAGTAGAATATTTATTTTTTTTTTTAACAAGTGAGATTTGTTTTTTTTAATAGGAACTGATAACTAAACAAATGCTTAATTAAGTAAATTAACTATTGCTTCATAATAAATTAGACAACATTTACTTTAAATACATAAGTTAGTCTTCGTTATTGTAGTGTATCAATGAAATCTGTAAATCAAACACAAACAATTTCTCTTTATTGTTCCTAAATACATTACATCATATTGTTTCATATTGTCAGATCACATTCAATTGTCAGATTGAATACTAAATCGATATAATATCGATTTAGTATTCAACCCTCTAACAAAAGGTTAATATAGTACATTCTTTCCACCCTCAAGAAAACAACAAACTTAAATTTCCCTTATAAATCCGTTTACAGGTTTTGTAGTTCTTCATAGGCACTTTGCAAGACCAAGACCAAGGCCGCCTAACTGTTGCAAGACCAATACCAGGACTGGTAAAAAAAATCGATTTTTAAAAATTAAAATTAAGACAAAATAGTTACTAATACTTGACAATCTTAGTTACTATATGTTAATAATTGGTATAAACAATATACATTTGCATTTAACTCCTATAATTTTTCATTCGAGCTTACTTAGGTTTCTCCTATCTAAAAAATTACAGTAATTTCTCTATAGTAATAAGCTAATAAGTAACTGCAAGACTGTTGCGAAAATCTTGCGCAAGACCAAGACCATGACCAAGACTGAGTTTGCAAGAACAAGACTCGTCTCGGTCTCGCATTTGGGCAACACTAGTTTTGGGTGAATAGGGTTGTCCATGCTTCAATGTCACTCTATTGTGAGACAATTTTTTTTAAAAATATTTCAGAATCAAATGCCGGTAAACTGTCACAAACCAATTCTTCCAGCAAACCAAATCTTGCAAATAGTTGACGCAAAATTTTAACTATGGTAGAGGTTGACATTGAAAAAGTTGGAAAAACTTCAAGCCATTTTGAGTGGCTATCGATAACAATTAAAAAATATTTCCCAATAAACGGACCTAAATAATCAATGTGCAGGGCTTGGATGGCCATTGCCAAGGTACTAATGGCATCTTCACCGGGTTATCTTTTTTAATATTACAGGCTCAACATACTTGTAATATTTTTTCAATAGCCTTGTCCTTTTTTGGCCACCTTACGTATGAACGGGCTAATGATTTTAATTTCACAACCCCCAAATGTGAAGCATGCAACTCCTCCAAAACTTGTTGCCTTAAAAGTTCAGGAACTACCACTCTGTAACCCCACAACAGAATATCCTTCTCCACAAATAATTCTTCCCTACTTGATGAAAAAGGTTGGAACTCCGGGTCCACTTCTGTTGGCCAGCCCTGTTTTGTGTATAATATAACTTTCATCAAAATCGGACCTTTCCTAGTTCCTAGTGCCAATATCTTTTTAAAGTCTAAAGGCAAATCAAATATAAAATTAATACATAAATGAGCTTCTCGGGATCCCCTCGGACAATCAGGTACAGGGGCCCGTGACAACCAATCAGCAATATTTCCCTGGAATCTCCTCGGACATCCTTCTGTTTTTCATAAAATCATTGATTATTCGTGATTGTTTTTTTAACACTTACAAACTTGATTAAAGTAACCCCTCTTCTTGGAAAAATTACATTTTTAGTAAGCTTTAATTTTATTGTTGTACGTTATTAATAAGTGAGTAATTCTAATTTTGTAAAACTTTGCGTATTCGAGCCAAGAGTTGGTCATTTGGACGCAAGAGACCTTAAAATATTTACTTCCGTTGAAAACTTGGATAGGAAACTTTTCGCGATCGTAATACTTTTCATATATAAAGTGAAAGGCAATAACAAAGCCTTGCGAGTCATAAAGTAATGACAAAAATAAAGAGTTAAAACAAAAATAATATTTAATTGATGTTTACAGCCAATGGTCCTTTCACCATATTAGTATTTTTTTTTTTACATATTAACTTATTGAAAAATATTACAATTTGCCTCAAGGACAAAAAGTTTAGATGATTAGATGGTTAGTTTAAATGTAATCTTTGTGGAACTTGTTTTGAGTATTTGAAGAATCTTCGAAAACATCAAAATTCTTGAAACAGTATATTTTAAAAACATTATTTTAAGTATGAAATAAAAAGTGGATTCGACTGATTTTGGATTTCAACGACATACATTTAAAGATAAAAATTGGATAACATTACTTTTAAACCGTTCATCATGCATATGCTCTGAGACAGTGCAGCGACTATACTATTTGGGGCTTAGGGAAGATTTATTTTAAATTACCTTTAAAAAAGTAAAATAATGATTAAAAAAAGTTATTAAGTATGAAACAATTACATAGCAACCAAAGAAACTGTTTACATTTAAAAAAAAATATTATTTGGTAAAAAACCCTCTTCATAGGCTATTGCTTAAAGGTGAAGTTGATTGTACTTACCAGCCTTGTCAGGGGCGAGGTGGATGGGGGGCGGTTGGGCGAGGGGAAGGTGGGGCCCGGGGGCGGCGGCCGGGTACCAGGCCCACCCCGCCGCCGCAGCCTGCCCGTTGAACATCCTCAGCTTGTCGTAGACCGACTCGGGTTGTGCTGCCGCGTTGGCCGCCTGCTGCTGCTCCTTCTGCGCCGCAAGGTTTCTCAGTACTCGGTTTATCGACGACACCTGTCTTACAGGAAACCGTAAGGCTAAGGAAATTACAGTTAAATAATAGCAATAATTTTTCATGTCTAACTACTAACCACCTCATTACTGCCATGAATAATGTTCGGAATTTGTTTCAGGTTTTTATACAACCAAATTAGCAAATTCGAGGGAAGTATTAGGGCTTCATTCACACAATATACACTGATAATGGTAGTGATGATTATAAATGAGAAAAAAAATTTAATATGTACAAACCTTATAAAATGTTTATATTGGGCCTGATCCGGAACCAAGTATTACCGTCATTGTCGCTACTCCAATAGCATATTCATAAAAAGTCTCTCCATCTGGTGGGATTATAGCGGTGTGCTGTTTTACGGCTTTCTTTCACAAAGAAAAACGGAGTCATGATGGAATACTAAACCTTTGCAATTGACTAGTTCTGGGCGTTTCTGTCGCAATGCTTCCTCCAATTTCGTTAGCAGTGTGCACTAGATTCGAATCAATCGTTTTCCCTTGTGAAAGCAAACCGTAAAACACCACGCCACGATAATCCCACCATTAGAAGAGCGAAATCTTTTTCGGACGGAGGCTACGGGGTGGGTTATGGTGGCTCTTCAGCAGTTGCCCATGATCTCCTGCGCACTTCATTGTCGTATATGATCAACTTTTCCTCACCGGTCACTATTCGTTTTAAAAATAAATGCCTTTGAACGGTTCCGATTTTCAGTATCTCTGTAATTTATCGTAACTATAGCGACCGGTCTTGTTCGATTAGAGCCTTGATATCACTCGAGTCAACCTAGGTAGGCCAACCGCTGCGGGGTGCATCTCGTATCTCCAGACCGAAACTTGCCGAACCATTTTTGAGCTTTACGTTTTGTTGAGGCATCGTCCCCGTATACCTTTCATGTCTTTCGATGGGCTTCCGAAGCTCGCTTGCCTATTTCGAAATAATAAAGCAAAATATGCAGATACACTTTATCATTTTCGACATATCCAGTGCACTGTATCACAAACAAAACTAATGCCAATGTTTGTGTTTTCGAATAGCGTTCTTTGACCTTTCCGATAAGTATCATTATTGTCACATAAGACAATGAAAACTGGAGATATTTGAAAACAATTTGCATTACTTAATAAAACGGAACGAACTTATGGATCCACCCAATATATACTTCACTTAAAAAAAGAACACGCACTGTACTCATTTTCTTTTAGGTTCATATTCTACTTAAAACATGCAAAATTACTGGAATTTTTTTGTGAAATATTACAATCTGTCTCAAAGGACATTTTAATAGTGTTCAGAGATCACATTCACACTCATTGCACAATACATAAAAATAAATTAAACAACAAAATATATATATACAGGGTGTTTCGTAATTGCACGGCACTACTTTAGGTATGTGTTCACTAACATAAAATAAACAAAAAAGTTCATATTAACATATATCTCAAACTCATTTATTAAATAGAAAACAAAGGTTAAAGATTTATTATATATTATTACTATTTATTTATTATTATTACAACGTTTTGAGTAACTGATTCAAAGGGGCCTTCGTTTTGTTAAATGCAACATTCATCACGTAAAATCCATGCTTCTCTAGCTCTTCGTATAGCATCAGGATGATGCTTGTTAGTTATTGTGGCTTACACAATCCGATTTCTTAGATCTTCTTGCGTGCCAACTGCCGCAGAATAAATCATAGACTTCATCCAGCCCCACACAGAATAATATAATGGCGTTAAATCCGGAGATCGTGGTGGCCATTTAACAGGTCCGTTTCGGCCAACCCATCGGTCTCCATAATTTGCATTTAAATAGTCAGTGATATTATTAGAAAAGTTAGCTGGAGCACGGTCATGCATGAAACAAGTATATTCATCGTCACGATCTGTAAGGATGCATAAACCACAGCCTTTGCCTAATGTCTTCTAGGAGTTCATGAAGATTATGTTGCAAAAAATGCAAGTAAGATATACCTGACAGCCTAGGTGGCAAAAAGAAGGGCCCCATGATGTTGTCGCTTAGATCACACCAGACATTTAAAGAAAATGTATGTTGGTAATGCACAACAGCAATTGTATGAGGGTTTTCTTCAGCCCATGTATGGGTATTTCGAAAATTAAGAATCTCGTTTCTTGTAAAGCAAGATTCACCAGTAACCAAAGTGCAGTTCAGGAAGTTAGGATCTCGTGTGCATTGTCGATTTAAACACTGGGAGAAATTTCGGAGCTTGTGGTAACAATTCTTGCCTAATCGAGACATGAAATGGATACAATTGTTGTTCGCGTAATGTTCGCCATACGCTGGTAGAGGAAACATCGAAACGATCTTCTGGTACTAGTAGTAGAAGATAACTGAACAGCATCGAGTATTTCTTCTTCAAAGTTTGCAGTTAGTCGAAATCTTTGTCGACTGGCGTTTACTCGTATAGGTTTTAGCGTGCCATTATCCCTAAGGCGTCTTTCAATGGCCTTTTAAAGTTTTACGATTTTGTATAGTTCGGTTAGGAATTTTTTGACGGCACCAAACCGCTGTCTAAACCTTCCGTTGGCCTTGTTTTCCTGCTAACCTGCAGAGAGAGAATCACTTTATTATCATAAAATAAAATAAATATAACAATTTCATCTCAGCACCAAAGCTCCCGCTCACATCCTTATCCAGTATGAATACACAGCTAAATTTCTTTATAGATTTTATAGATATGTTGTCTCGAATATTAATGATTGGTCCTTTCTAAGGATCTTGAGCTTGAGCAAATAAATTAATAGTGATATTAATGGTATAATATTTTATTTATTATATATATATATATATATATTTATAAGAGGGTTTTCTCAGAGTAGGGGTTGGACATGAGAACAATAAACCAATAGCAGCAATCCAAATGTTGTCAAAATATAATTGTATATTTATTGAGTGATTACTTATTTAACTACTGTTCTGTATATCAAATACTAACATTTTTTAGTAGCTAATTCTGTAATTACGAAGATGTTAACATTGCTTTAGAAACATTCATCATCTTCTTTATATCACCGTCGAGAAATAAAATCGCAAACGAGCTGAATACAATATTTTCCACAAAGGAATATCGCGAAATAGCGCTGGATAAAGCAAATTGATTGCCCCCACTCTCCCCCCTCCAACCACCTGGCTTTGTACCAAGCCATTAGAAACAGAGTTTCATTACAGAGCATAATTAACTTTTCAATGTAATTTCCAACCTGAGGTGAATCCCAATAAACTCACTATTATAATTGTTTCTCTTCTGTAAACTTCATCTGTTTCCAACATTATTTGTCACTATCTGGAGTTTACATTAAAAGCTGTCCAATCAAGAGTTTGATTTCAATTATGAAATTGGAAATTAAATTTTTACACGTTCGACAAATAGAAATTGTCTCTGTAAACTGCTGCAATGAATTCTCCCCTTTTTGTAATTTCTAGTTTTCCTTGTTATTAAGTAAGGAGTAAAAATATGAAAACAGAAATTATATATATTATATTAATAATAATCTTTAATAATTTTATATTAACCGGGTATGGCACGCAGGGCTTCTTTTCAAACTTAAAACCCATCTTCCTTAGTCTTTATACCTTGTCCTCCTCTCCTACCTCTGTGATCATATCTTCCGAGTTCGCCGCGGCACTGAATTTTCCAATTGCTATCCCATTGAGGCTGGTGTTCCTCAAGGTAGCGTATTGGGTCCCGTCCTTTACATCCTCTTCACCGTCGATATCCCTGCCTATCCCGATACCTTCCAGGCAACATTTGCTAATGACACCGCCATTCTATCATCCGACTCAGATCCTGATATAGCATCTTTAAACCTTGAAAGACACCTCTCCCTGATTGACCACTGGTGTAATAAATGGCGTATTAAAGTAAACGAATCCAAATGCCAACGCATTACCCTCACACTCCGACGCAGTTCATGTCCACCAGTACACTTTAATTCCATCCAGCTTCCTTTCTCAGACACAGTCCGGTATCTTGGCTTTCTATTAGACAGACGAATAACGTGGAACCCTCATACTAGACTTAAAAGACAGAAACTTAACCGATGATATTGCCAACTATACAGACTACTACATAGAAAATCTAAACTTTCTATTGAAAATAAAATACTTATCTACAAGACAATCCTGAAACCTACTTGGACATACGGACTTGAACTGTGGGGAACAGCAAAATTTTTTAACATTAAACGCATCCAATCCTTCCAGTCCAAAATCCTTCGAACAATAGTCGACGTTCCTTTCTATGTAACCAACAAAACCTTACACCGTGACCTTAATATCCCATTTCTCGTAGACCTTATCCCAGCAAAGTTCTCCAAATTTCACCAGAACCTTACCTATCACCCGAATCCCATTGCACAATCCCTATCCAGCACCACCCATCCCTATAATCCTCCAAGAAGGTTAAAACGGCAGTGGCCCCGCGAACTTTCATAGTTTGTAAATATTGGAATTCTGGCAATGGCCATATTCTCCACTCACGACATGAGTGTATGTGGCTAAAGCACTCTTGCTCAAACTTCACTGGGTTTAGCCCCAGTGATGCGGTTGAGAGAGAAGTGTAGAGATCTCGTGGAGTCATGCTTTTCCCTCCACAGCTGGAGGGACAAGTTAGGCTCAGAGTTCTCTCGCCTGATTGTAAATAGTGTATATAGGTATGTTTGTGTTCTTTTTTATTTATTTATTTTTAGGTTATTTTATGCTTATTTATTGTATATATATTATTATTATTGTACATAGAGAGTGAATGTGATCTCTGAACACTATTATAAATGTCCTTTGGGACAGATTGTAATATTTTCAATAAACAATAAAAAAAAATTATATTAATGTTATGCTTATCTTCTATTAAGGACTTTATGGGCTGTGTGGCCTTAGCCGAAGTACAACAGCGGAAGTAAGACAAGAAGAGATCATCATGAGGGCGATGAAAAAATACGAGTGGAACTAAAAATCACGGATCTGAGGTAGACCTAGGACTATATATCTATTGTTACAAATGATTTTGTACCCAATTAAAAAGTGAAAGTACAACCTGTATTATATGTCTTCTCCGAAAAAAAAAAAAAACGGAAAATAAAAAAAATAAAATAAAAAAAAGGGGGATTACTGAACAGAAATATTTTATTTATTAATGAGGTTAGTTGATGATTAATTTGTTTTTAACCTATGTAATTGATCCGGTTGTTAAAACTAACTATAGCACATGTACAAAAGAATTATAATGACATCTCCTTATATGTCCTTATTGATACTCCACGAATATCTAATTCCTTCAAGCTATGATTTTTTTTTTCCATAACAAAAATCTGACCTTTGAGGTAAACCTTTTTATAATGCTAGAACTGAATTCATAAAAAGTGCCGGTAGATTTAAAGATAATATTTTTACTAATATTAACAGGGAACAAATTTGAAATGAAGATCACGCATACAAATTTAAAAACGCCCTACTTTCTCCCAACGTCACTATAATGTATTATCTGTAAAATTTATAATTGTCCATAGACCATTACAATTTTAACACATCAATTTTTAACGAAAAAGTGTGTATACAATCTCTTTACATATTACAAAGACATATACATTATACAATTCTAATATAAATTATAATTGCCATTATAATAATTTATACATACATATATATATATATATATATATATATATATATATATATATATATATATATATTATATATATATACTGGAGGTTTCGGCACTATTTTAGGTATGTGTTCACTAACACAAAATAAACAAAAAGTTCATATTAACATATATCTCAAACTCATTTATTAAACAGATATCAAAGGTTAAAGATTTATTATTTATTTACTACATTAAGACTGACTGTACAAAGTTTAACGTGTTTAATACTAAATAACAGGTTTTAATCACCTGATAAACAAATGAACGATAAGCAATGACAGTAGTTGCTCATCTGTTTGTCTAGTTCTGTGTGTTTTAGTGTGAGTGAATACTGTGACACAGTTCAATTTATGATTATCATGGGAGACACCATAAATTTATTCACTTTTGCAGAACAAACAGACATGCTTTTAACTTATGGCGAGGTACATAGAAACGGTGCTGCTGCTGTTCGAAGATATCGTGAAAAATTTCCTAACCGAAGAATACCAAATCGTAAAACGTTTGAGGCCATTGAAAGACGCCTTAGGGATAATGGCACGCTAAAACCTATACGAGTAAACGCCGGTCGACAAAGATTTCGACGAACTGCAAACGTTGAAGAAGAAATACTCGATGCTGTTCAGTTATCTCCTACTACTAGTACCAGAAGATTGTCACGTCGTTTCGATGTTTCCTCAACCAGCGTATGGCGAACTTTACGCGAACAACAATTGTATCCATTTCACGTATCGAGTAGGCAAGATTTGTTACCACAAGATTATACAAGCCAGAAATTTCTCCCAGTGGTTAATTCGACAATGCACACGAGATCCTAACTTCCTGAACTGCATTTTGGTTACTGATGAATCTTGCTTTACAAGAAACGGGATTCTTAATTTTCGAAATACCCATACATGGCTGAAGAAAACCCTCATACAATTGCTGTTGGACATTACCAACATACATTTTCTTTAAATGTCTGGTGTGTCTTCTAAGCGACAACATCATCGGCCCTTCTTTTTGCCACCTAGGCTGTCAGGTATATCTTACTTGCATTTTTTGCAAAATAATCTTCATGAACTCCTAGAAGACATTTCGCTAGGCATTAGGCAAAGGCTGTGGTTTATGCATCCTTACAGATCGTGACGATGTATATACTTGTTTCAAATGTTTTTTATTTCTTGAAATTTACAACTTTACAAAATAAATACTATTAATATGAGCAAATCAAGACTAATGACTTAAGGAGAAACTACCTAATGATAGTACTCCCTATATAGTTTTATGTAAGAAGATCACGAGGCTTCTTTCCAGACACCTAGGAGGATTATTAGGAATTGAGGAAGAAGCAAGACTGGAAACAAGTGGATTCGGATGGGACTGGAATTTTTCATGAAAGGATATTTATCTTGCTTGGCCTAAATCAGCGACATATGGAATATTAGGGCCTTTGTGAATGGTTTTATTCGTCGAGCAGTTTCTTGTCGTTTCAATCATGTATGAGGATTTCAAGTAAGTTTATCCTAGGTAGCGGATTTGTTCAACTGGGACAAGTGGAATATTATGGAAGTATGTTTGTAATCGTAAATAAAAATGAAATCGTTATCAAAATGGGACATTATTTTAGGTTAATAAGAACGGCTATTAAATAAATAAGAAAAAAAAAATATTG